CAATGGACAGAACTGCTGGCAAGTCAAATCACATGGGAGGGAAAGAAGTGGAGAGACTGGTATAGAAGGGATGGCAAGGACCGGCTCTTTTTATAGAGGCATAGCATCCATAGGTTTTTTTTTTTTTTGAGGATTCCTCCATATGCTACGTCCTTGGAGTGCTCTAGATTTCAGAGCAGCAGGGCTTCAGCCTTATTCAAATGCCAAACTTCCCTTGGCTAGGAGGGCACTAGCTTGTACCAGTGGGGAAGAAATGAAGCTACATCAACTCCAAATCTGTTTCTGGTGTCTTAGTTCTTGAGAACAATGCCAGGATCCTCACAGATGAAGGAGAAGATTGAAAACATTTAGAGATTTCCCCACTGAGATACAGACAGCTCCTTGTCATCACAACTGCTCTAACAGCTGGGCACTTCTCACTTTCTCATAAAGCCACTTCCATGTGCATTGGGAACCTCAGAAATAAATAAAAGCCTGGGAGTGGACAGCACTACTCACTAGCTGTGTAAGCAGGGACTTGCTGAAATGTCCCCATATGGAGGGGCAGCAGTGCACCACCGAGCCTGCTGTGCCCCAGGGTGGAGGAGGCCTTCCAGCACCAAGCTATCGTAGTGCTGATATGTGCCAAAGAGAGTAGGCTGGGAGACAGATCTGGATGGAGATTGCCTTAGGACTTTCCAGGCAGGCATGCTGTGAAGAAGTCCCGGGCTTTCCAAACCCTTTTGCGGGCCTACCTGTTGCTGTCATGCCCAGCTCCTCCCAGGCAGAGGCTGCCAGGCAACATACCAGCAACCACGAGGCCTGATGAAGCCACAGAGGTGGATGCCTGTGCCAATGCAAAGGCCAAAGTGTGCATGCTCTTGTTTTGTAATTGTACCAAGAGTCACCTCTGAACATTGTGCCCCCTGCCCCAGCTCAGCTTCGGCCTGGGCTAGGGTCCAGGGAGTGGAGGAGGCTGGCTGGGGGCTAGTTCTCCCCTTGGATGCTTTCTCCTTCAGATCCAAGCTCGGCAGAGTTAGCAGTGATTGCATACCTATGTGTATCAGTGGGCTAATGTGCGCTTAGATGTTGGCTTGATCAGAAGTGGGGACCAGCCAGGAATGGGAGCAGTGAGGGCTCCTACCAGTCCTTCAGAGAGGGCTGGTGGCAGTGATGGATAAGGGATCTTGCAGCTGTCCAGCTCAGCTCCTCAGGCAGAGGAATGGTCACCATGATTGTGACCCCCCATCAGAGCTGGGCCTAGCTTTGCTCATCACCTCCCATCCACTCCTCTCAAGGTGCCCTCTCTATGGTAAACCCAACCCTGGCTTTTCTCCTAGACTTTTCCTCTCAGCAGAGGCTGACTACAACACAGGGACCTCAAAGCTATTGAGATATAGATGCAAAGGTTGAGACAGGTGCCAGTTTTTCACGGTCATCTTCCCTGCATTAGTACACACTGTACATGCTCTGCTTTCTCAGATATAGTTGCTCTTCTTCCACTCTCTCCAGATCTGGTTTGTATCTGTTTCATTGCTTAAGACTCCCTGTTCACTCCTCTCTCCAGTTCTCCAGTTCACTTCTCCATGGATTTATTCCCTTTACTTGCTGTCTGCCCTCCTGCTGAATCTCTCTGCTGGAATTAGCATTCCCCTGTGGTTTGGCTTGTCCTGCAGCTCCATGAGCAATAAAGCCCTTGGTGGGCTTTATTGAGAATGTACATGTGCCAGAACAAAACCTTGGCTGAGACTTTTGTAGTTGGTTTGGGAGGTTAGTCACACCAACGACAGTGAGGACTCTACAGTGAAAGCAATATTACGAGTCGGAAAAGCTGAACTTGTCTCTTAATGGGGTGTTGTAAGGCACATCACTTGCTCTGCACAAGTAACCAAAACCATCACTAGGGCTTTTTTTATTACTTCTTCTACAAGTTTCAGATTTTCTTTTCTAGTAGGCTAGCAGTACGAAGTGGACAAAGTCCCAGGCTTATGCTTCAGGCAAGTCAGAGCACCTATAGGTGTGTGGAACCTTGTTTGGGGAACTCTTTTCCCTCATTTGGGGAACTGCTGAGATTTCTGGGCCAGGTGTAATGAGATCAGTTACCACCCTTATCTCTGGTTCTTTTCCTTGCAAAATGCAAAGCTTTGAAAATACAAATGTATTTTGTGTCAGAAGCCTGGTTTTTGTCTTAAAGCATCAGATGAAGATGGTACTGTGAAGCCTGTTAAGCCCATGGATTTATGTGGTTGATTGGATGGACAGATTGATACATATTTAATTGCTGAGCCCTCTGTTTTGCTGAGTGTGTGGTTTGCTGAGCTTGTATGGCTTGAAAACAAGACTAGAAGAGAAGGAAATAACTGCTGAATTCTAAAGCTGGTGCTGATGTTCACACCTCCTGTGGCTTTAGTCAAGCCAACTAGTAACTAAGCTTCCCTGTTTGTGCTGTAAGAAAGATAGTGTTTACCTATCTGAGAAGGACAAATAGGACAACTAATAAGTTTGCAAAGGGCTCTCAGGGCTAAGAGTCAAGATTCTGAAAATAAACAGTTATTTTTCTTTACTCTTCTGCTTCACGTGACCCTATGTAGCAACGAGAACCTCCCTTTGCTTAGGAGTCTGCATGCCTAGTATCCCACCTCAGCAGATCCTGTGTGGTAGTGCAGTGGTGAGGATACTGCTGGAGCCATCCCATGAGCAGCAATCACAAGGCCGGATCTGGCCCTGGGGAAAAGGCTGGAATACGATCAAGCCATGGGAAATACTGTATTTACCTGAATGTAAGGCAGCCCTACTTCTAAGGAAATCCTCACTTTCCAAAACCAAAAAAAAAAGTAATAATTGACTGGATGTGTATTAAGAACATAAATCTTCTGCGTCACTGTAAAGGGCAAGTCATCCCAATCCTGCACAAGGAACCACAGTCCCTCTGTCCCTTACTGCCCTATAGACCTGCCTCCCCACAGCCCCATGCCACCTCTCTGCTCCCTTTTTCTTGTGGTCACCCCACTTGACTGCTCTCTGTTGTTAGATACAAGGGTGCCCCTGAAGTGCCTGGTGTGATTACACTTGTTGCTCCTGCCTGCAGCCAGCTTTGGACTTAGGTACTGCAAATGGAGGAGGGGGGAAATAGCCTCTGCAGTGCATCCTGTCATGCACACGCCTTTAGTCAGATAAATACTTAGCTCTGTAAGAGCTGTGGCTGATAGGTTTCCTCTTTCCTACCCTGCCCACGTTTAGCACCCTTTTGTTTGTAGCGGGGTTTCTTTCTGCAGCAGGTTCTGGTCTAATCGAGGCTGCCTACGTTGAACTAAGTTGTCCAGCAAAGTCCTGGTAGTTGCGGCATACACCCAGTCTACATTTTTTTCAGCACTTACTTTCTAAAAGAAATCTCTCTGTCTAAGCTAATATGTTGTATTTATTTTTTTTTTGTTTTAAGTCTGATGGCGAGGTGAAGGTCTGAGCATATTTCATCCACTTCTTGGGAATCAACTTCTTAGGAAAAAGATTAAGTCTTTTACAGTAACAGCTATTAGATGGCCAGAGGCTGGGTCAGGCTGCCAGGCTTGCACAGTTGCATGTGACAGAGGCAAAGTGAATCCTTTCCCACTTCCCGGTTTGTTTCAAATCAGCAGTTATTAGTGTCCAAATGCCATGATCCGATCATGCCATCTTGTGGTCTTAATTGTATTTGCAGGTAAACGCCAATTCAGTCTTGACAGCTGGGAGCATAACACAGTATGCTTATTCATCTTACTTTTTTTCTTAACTTTTCACAGCAGTTTTAAAATTTAGAACAGGTCTAGAAATAAGAGTAGGAGAAAGCCTTAGGCACTGTCGTGGTATGTGCAATCCCTTTTATCACCAGGGATAAATAACTAACTAAAGAAGAAGTGGACATGTTATCAGAGCCCCATTTGCTCCCTCCAGCATTGGAGAGGATGTGCTGAATTGTCCAAAATGTACCAGGTGCCATTCAGTAAGGCTTAAAAATCCACCATAGGGAGTGTAAGAAATTAGCAGCCATGTTCTCCTCAATGAAAGCTTATCAGGGCAATTTTTTGCTAGAGGTGATGAATGACTGCTATCATTAGCAGTGGTGGAGTTGAGAGCCTTGGCTGTCTCATACAGGTAGAAGCCAGACAGACATTTCTGAGCTCTGCTGCGCATCGCCTGGAAGCAGTCTGGATTTCCCAACTTTTGAATCTTTGTCTGGAGTTTGGTATTCAAGCTTGCCTCTTGCTGCTCCAAACGCCAACTGTGCTTTTGCTATCATAGACACAGAGCAGCCTGCAAGAAGAGAGTTTGCAATCCTCATTGCACTGGGATTCACCTCTCAGATGGAAGTTCATCACTTGTCAAAGACATCAGTCTCGTCCTTTACTGTGTTATCAGAAACCCTGCAGTAATTCAGAAAGAGGACAGTGAAAGAACCTCTCTAAAAGAAAAAGTCCTTTTTAGTCCTTTAAAAAATGACTATAAATAAAGATTTCTTCCTTTTCTAGTATTTTAAGATTTTTGAATTCTATTCTGACTTTAACGTAATCATACAACATATTCAGTAAAACTCCTTTTCTATAATTTGTTTGTCATTGTTCTAGTCAAGAACATGCTAGTCAAATCCTCTCTTTTTCAAAAGACACCAAACTTTGAATAAGAAATAGTTCTGTGAAATGAGAAATAACTTCAAAATCAATTTTGTACCAAAAAGGGAGAGAACAAGGGCAAGTACCTTGGCTGTCATTTTCGAAATAATATGCTCACCTAGAGGCTCCCAACTTTTGGATGCCACGTTTGAGTTAGTAGGGGCTACTGCTTCCTGCTTTATCAGCCTTCAGATATCATTTGTCCTGCTAGTTTAACTCTTACCAATGTTATCATCTGGAGCTTTGTAATTCTACATAGGGCCAAAACGAAACCCCAGTGCCACTGCTTGTATTTCAGAAAGTTTGCTGAGGAACCTTTAAGGTTGTAAGTGGCCATACGCTAAGCTTACTGACAGAGGTCTGATTCTTTTGCAGGCATGAACTTAGCACTAGAAGCTGGTAGAGTTCTCAGACAGAAACACAACCGGTAAGTTGACATATTCCTTGAAGTTTTAACTCTTTTCTTTTCAAAATGTGTCAGCTGCTGAGTTGGTGGATGTGGTGCAATGACTGCAGTGAAAAGGCAGAAGGGAAGATTGGTCAGTCTCTCTTGGGAACCTGATCTTATGTTGAAGTCTCTGGAGGCAATGAAGGATATCCTTTTAGGTGCAACTGTGAGTGAGCTCCAAAGTTTGGTGGAGTGAGAGCAACAGAATTTTCTGTTGCAAGGTTTGCAGGGGTCATGAATTGTCCAGGTGTCTGCTTCCTTTATTCTACAGACAGGTATCCCAGGAAATCTGTGCAAAGCTGGAATTTCATAGCTTCAGCTTGCTAATTTCTTACCACGGGAGAGGCCAGAATATACATGCTCTAGAGAAGACGAGAGGAGAACAGGGAATACATTTTGATTTGAAATGCTAAGGAACCACACAAATAACAAGTGTGCTTTACGTGAAATTGCCTGTGTGGTATTATCAAAACATGTAACGGTTAAAAGAGGGCATTGCTATTGTTTGCAAGCTGGCACAGGAAGGAGTGAGAAAAAAAACGTCTCTCCCCTGTGGGGAGAGGAGAGATCCCAACGCATGGTGGAGCTAGATGATGACATTTGATGAGTTTGGCCTTCACAGCCCACATACACAGCCCACGTATTCCTACAAAGCATGATTAGGGACTAGCTTTCTATTCGCAGATTTCAGACTTACATGTTAGTTTACTGCATATCCAGTTTTAGCCTGAGTTCTACATTTTGTCTAGATTATGGATGGTATCACGTAAACTCACTTAAAGTGCAGCATTGAACTTCTGATTCCTTATCTGTTGTCACTGATGGTAAATGTACCAAAGTTAGAGGAGAGGGAGCCAGAAATCCTGACTCTTTCTCTAAGCTTTCCCTTCAGTGAATTATGTGCGTGTCAGTCCTAGAGAAACAGAAAAATCTTCCCAAGAGCAATAGCACATCTAGGTGTTTGCGTATACCCTTTGCACGAACATGGACAGCGAAGCGCTGTGAAGCAAAGGCAGTGAGAGGAGGCAATCTTGCTTCTGTTTTTAAGCCAAGAAAGGGGAAGCTCTGCTGAAGCCCACTTCTCCCTGCTTCTAGACTCTGCTTGCACTGTTATACACAAGACACATGAACTCAGTCACCTTCCTTTTTAAAAGACGGTAGGTGCTAAAGCCCAGCTCCTCCTGTGTAGGGACCTACCTTTCACTGAAACTAGGTGTCCAAATACAGTGGAGGATTTAGACCCAAGGGCTGAGGCACGTGCAGCTCATTTCTCGGTGGGGACATAAGCAGGAGCATGTCATTAACAGCTGCAGTGGCTTCAGCTCCAAATGACCTGGCAAAGGAGTTCTCAGACCAGAAAACTTCTGTGTTCTTTTTCAGCTTTAGCAGTTGGTGCAGTAGTTGGTCATGCTCCCCTTGCAAACCCTGTTCCTTTTGCACACCAACTTACCTATGATGCCTAGCCTTTGATTCATCATCACTTTGTCATTTTTGGAAAATGTTTAAGTAAGTTAAACCCCTGGAACCTAATGGAGGAGCACCGTCAGGCTGCCTAGATACTAAAGTGCAATGGCTTGTGGTTAAACAGGAGGAAGTTGGTTATCAAGTGTTTGATTTGCACAGAAGGGCTAGCTGAGGTGGAGTTGGAAGGGATGGAAAAAGAGCAATGGAGGCTGCCAGAGCAGTGCTGTACAGCTGACTGAGGACAAGCAGAAGGACGCTGCATGCAGTCAGGTCCCCCGTTCAGTCTGGCGAGGACTGTGACCTGTCTGGCACTCTAGGTCTCAAACTGAATGGGAAAAGGCAATCTGGCAAAAAGAAGCACAAAACTTTGTAATGGTGTGGGGGATCCCTGGAAAGACTGTAAAATAAGAACAATCAATTAACAAGCTACTGTGGCTTTAGGAAAACAATTACAAGCATAGTAGTGTAATGAGCACATATGAGGCACAGAAGCTATTTAACCTTCAGCCTTTTGCCTTATAAAGTACCTCTGGTGCACTGGGTAAGGCTGTTAATTATTAGGGTCAACCTTAGCAGACAGAGGTGTCCTCAAGTGTGGGTTGCTGTGATGCACTCAGATATTATGTCAATAACTAATTTCCTAAATTGTTCAAGTATTGACAGATTGGAGTCCATTAACCAAGCCTCAACTTATGACTATGGCAGCAATTACAGTCCACAAGGACAGCAAAATCCATTAATAGGTCCTAGAGTATGTATATATACATATATATATATATATATACACAAATAGTAAAATATATGTTTTCTCATTTGAAAGGGAAGTTGTATGACTTCTTAGTAAGAGGGCATGCACAATAAGGCAC